GCCCGGTGGCACACTGGAGAGTGCACCGCTTGGGAGCATGGCGGCACTCCCGCCGAGGGTTCAGATCCCATGTGGAGACCGGTTCCCACTCACTGGCTGAGCGCGGTGCGGGCGCAACACTGAGGGTTGCGATCCCGTTGCTGGTCCCCGGTACGGGCGCGACACGGAGGGTTGCGATCCCGTTACTGGTCAGTAAAAAAGACAAAAAGGAAAAAAAAAAAAAGAAATCTGTCGCTTTGCATATAAAGGCTTAATGACTATAAAGAATAAATTCCTCAAAATGTCGATAGGTTAAGATTTATGATAGGTAAAATTGAGAGTAATTAAGCAAAAAGAAGCTATTATATGTATCTGAAATGGTAAAATGAGCAATGAAACCATTTTATCCAAAATTCACTTAAAGGCAAAGTCTGAAAAAAGGCCAGAGGGAATTAGGAGTTTGTGGAAACACAGAGTTCTGTCGGGGGTTGGGGGTTGGGGGTGGGGAAAGTGACTCAGCAGAACCTAAGAAACATCTGGCCGGGTATAGTTAGTCATGGAAAAATTGGGAGTCATGATTTTGCATTTTGTGAAAATAATTATGTACTAGTCTGACAGTCTACATTTAGAACAAAATTAAAGAGCTGAAAACCAATACAATATGTTTTATTAATTTAGTACATACATGACTTACACATTTTATATATGGTATCATTCTATGTAAGCAACCCTTAATGCCTCATTTCTGTAACTCTGTGTACCTGACAAATACACTAAATTTTTTTTTCCCCTTTTTGTCTTTTTTTTTTTTACTGACCGGTAACGGAATCGCAACCCTCGGTGTCGCGCCCGCACCACGCTCAGCCAGTGAGCGGGAACCGGTCCCCACATGGGATCCGAACCCTCGGCGGGAGCGCTGCCGCACTCCCAAGCGGCACACTCTCCAGTGCGCCACCGGGCCAGCCCCAAATACACTAAATTTGATGAACAGAAATCTATGCATTTAACAAATACTCAAATGTCTGCCTGATGCTGGGTTCTCTGCTACACTCTGGACGTACAAAGCAAAACCAAGAAGTCCCTTTCCTATTAAATATATCATCATTTCTACTTGTGTCCAAATTTTCATGGTTTGAATGATTTTCTGTCAACACTTGGACTGGATATAAAACAATCTTAACAATGTTGTTTATTAGTGAATTTTATTAAGTGCTTCCCCCCGCCAAGATTTAGGTGTGTCATGGTCAGTCCATCAAACAGGTATCTTTAACTCAGAAAATTACCTAGGGGTTGGAAGTACATGTACATTATGAGTTTGAGTGTATTGATGAACTCTCAAAGTTTTGCATCTGGAAAATAATGTATGAAGCCCAAAATAGAAAGACAACTCTTTAAAAGCACAAGTCTAGCAGAAAAGATAATCAGTTCCTCAGGTGAAGAAGATTAAATAGCAAAATAACCAGTTTTAAAAGCATGTGTGCAGGCTTCATTGTTATTTATATATTTATTTTTTGACATTTTATAAAATAGCCTAGTTTACAGGTGCTCCAAATTTTAGGCCTGTGACCTCTCCAATCACTTGCCGCCTTTGCTGGGTGATGCTCCATCCTATTACATTAATTCCTCTTTCAAGTACAACTCTCAAGCCAGGAAGTAAATCTCCAATAAGCGAAGTTATTTGCACACTGGAAACATGCTTATAATATTTGACTAGTTGTAATTGTCACCCTAAATCATTACCCTTTAAGTTACCACGTTGTAGCAACTCACGGTCTAAATCAACTACAAACCATTCCCTGTTGTAAGGGGAATAACAGCATGCTATAGACTGAACATGTGCGTCCCTCCTCTCCCCTACAAGTTCATATGTTGAGATCCTAACCTCCAGTGTGATGGTAGATGGAGATGGGACCGTAGGTAGGTGCTGGGTTGAGGGTGTAGCCCTCATGAATGGGGTTAGTGCCCTTGTGAAAGAGGCTCCAGAGAGCTCCCTCTCCCCTTCTGCCATGTAAGGGCACAGAGAGAAGACAGCTGTCTAGGAACCAGAAAGCTGAACCAGGAAGCAGGTCCTCACCAGACACCCACTTAATCTTGGATTTTCAGCCTCCAGAACTGTGAGAAATAAATTTCTATTGTTTTTAAGCCACCCAATCTATGGTGGTTTTTTTTTTTTTTTTTTAATAGCAGCCTGAACAGACTGAGATACAGGACATACAATGGTACTTCAAAAAGTTTGTGGAAAAATAGAATTAAAAGATAGTATGAATCTTTCTATGAACTTTTTAAAGTACCCTTGTATACTATGGAGGATGTTTGTGGTACCATGACAGTGACTGGCTTTTCAGAATTTGGTAAACTTTATAGACAGCTATTAAAATGACCAAATTGAAAGGAGTGGTCTTAAGGCTGGACCTTAATTTTAAGAATAGTTGTTTGTTTTGTATCTCCGATCATTATGGATTTATAAACCAAGATCCTGCCTTATACAGGTTAATAAGTATTTATTGAGGGATTACTATGTGCAGGGCAATGTAGCAGGGACTACTGTGCAAGTGCCTTTTGTAACGTATCTTGCAGGCTAGCTGGGGAGAGGAGACAAATACAGAAGGCACTGCAGGGGAAGGCACTACAAGCGAAGTGGGACGTGTGGCCAGGTCTCTTGCTAGTAGATTGAGAGCTCTGTGCTGGCAGAAGCTGCTTTATCTTTAGCAGTATCCACAGTGCCTGGCACATAGGAGGTCCTCCATCTCCACAAAGCTCTGTTTAAAGATATAAAAGGTGATCAAGACCTCCGAGGAGAGAGCTCACTTCTCACTAGGGTAATGAGAGATGGTTCCCTTGAGGAAACCAGTTTTTGAGCGATGTCTTAGTCTGCTTGAGCTGCTATAACAAAATACCTTAAACTGGGTAATTTACAAATAATAGAAATATCAGTTCTGGAGGCTGAGAAGTCCAAGATCAAGGCACTGGCAGATTCTGTGTGTGGCGAGGGCTCACTCTCTGCTTCACAGATGGTGCCTTGGTGCTAAGTCCCCACATGGTGAAGAGGCAAGGCAGCTCCCTTCAACCTCTTTTATTTTTTATTTTTATTTTTATTTTTTTTTCCTTTTTCTCTTTTTCCGTGTCCGGCAACGGATTGCAACCCTCAGTGTCGCGCCTGTACCGGACCGGGACCGGCAATGGGATC